TCTACCAAGATTATAAGTTTAATCCATGAATTCAGTCTCTCCGTGACCTTGTATAATTATACAATAGATTATTAACACAGTAGAACCTCCCTGTAAAGGACACCCCCTAATTGAAGAGCTAAAGTTTCCTTTAGGGAGAAGTGTCCTCTTACTGGAGAGTTGCTAAATAGTAAAAATGGTAATTTTGCAAATGAAAACTGTCCTTTATAGAGAGGTGTCCTCTAGCGTGAGTTTCCTCTCATGGAGTATATGTTCTACTGTAATAAAAAAAGGATTCTCCCAGATACAGAAGTAAACATAGCAGTTATCTACAGAAAGTGGAAATTAAAATAGGTCTTTTCTTCGTTTTGGACTCATGGATGATTTATCTAACTTGAAGAAAGGTCGATATTAATATCCACTTTCTGTAGATAACTATCATGTTTACTTCTGTATCTGGGGAGAATCTACAGTAGAACATATACTCCATGAGAGGACAATCCCGCTAGAGGACACCTCTCTATAAAGAATCTTTTTAAGAAACTGATAATTTATATTATACTTATTGTACATATTGCCAGACACTTCTTTCTTTTGTACACAGTTCTTTTTTCTCGTTTTTTTTTCTCTCTTTCTCATTGTTAACATCATATGACTATTCTATTCACGGTCTAAATGTATAGACAAATATAAAGACATACATGTATGACAGCGCAAGTATCTCTAGGGGGACATAGCGCTTTAAATTGAAATAAAAATGATAATAATAAAGGACAGTTTTTATTTTTGCAAAATTACCATTTTTACTATTTAGCAACTTTCCGGTAAGAGGACATCTCTCCCTAAAGACTCCCTGTTTACCTATCTGGGAGAATCCTTCTCTTCTTCTTCTTTCTTATCTCCACTCAATTACACTAAGGTATCAAGCTTGTAAAGCTTATTGATTGTGTCTGCCGGGGAAGAGTAGAGTTCATCAATGGATGAGTCAATACAGTCAATAATGTGTCTTGGGGTTGCAGGTTGACACTTAGTACATAGTGGGAAAACCTTGCAACCATTCTGGAAAGTCATTGTCCGTAGATGACCAGACTTAAGTCTGGAAATCAAAGACTGTTTTTGGGAGAATCCTGTATGGGACGAGTGTCCTTAATAAAGGTATTTGTTATCTTAAATATATAAAGGTTATGTGTTTTTAATAAAAGAAGTTATTTGTTGTTGTTGCATATTAAGCCTATATGTAAATGTGTCCCTTTGAAACAACGTACGTACCTCACTGAAGTAATTATTCCCCAGATAAACTCCAGGTTTCTTGGCGTACATAGTCTTCTTGCCGTTAGAGGAGAAAGCGTACTCCGGGTAATGCATGATGGAATTGTAGTCGTAGGGCTCTCCTTGTAGATCTTCTAGGGAGGCATCCACCTTTTGGAAGTTGTATTTCATTTCTGGACATGTAACACAGAATTTACAATTCTATCGTACATATGGTTTTCCATCGCACCCATTACCACCGTCATATTTAAGGACAATAGAAATATGAGTACACCTATCCCTCGATTTACACGGTAGATACGTTCCTGAGAAAAACGTGTAAATCGGGGAATATGTGTACACAGAAATAAAAATAAAATACATTGACAGGTTAAAATATGTAGTCAGCACATAAGCTCGGGATTCCTCGTGAGATGTGTACACAGCGCCTGTGTTCAATCACAGTAGCATTTAGTAACCTTAACCATATATGTGTTGGGTCCGAAGACCATTCCATCCTTGTCAAGGGGAGTGCTAACCGTCTCTCCTTTTTTTTTTAGTAGCATTTAGTATAGTGCGATAAAAACAAAAACGTATTTGGAAAACCGTGTAAAAGCGAAAACGTGTAAAACAAGTACCGTGTAAATCGGGGGATAGGTGTATTTAAAAAAACACAATGATGAAAATATTGGTTGTAAATTGATATATTGGTAGATGTAGCAACACTCGTTAAACGTCCGTGTGTGGGAAGTGTTTACAGACACCGAGGTTTCACACTGTCACCAAGGGAGGTCTATGGACCAGTGATATAAACTGTTGATTTTCTATTGCCACGAACCTAGATTGAATCCCGCATTGTGGGTATTTTTTTCCTGATAAAAAATAATTGCTACAATGACCCCTACTCTTAAAAAAAAGGTCCAAACCCACCAGTGAGTGTAAGTAACCAAACAGAACTCAGGCATACTTATATGTGCAAATATGGTACATACGAGTATGGTACACTTTACAGTAAAAGCAGTCGCTAACTACTAAACATGATTATCATGGGCTGCTCATGTGTAATAGGTTTTTCAAATTAAAGATACGTCGGCCAGTAAATCTGCTTTATTGTCTCTAGACATTAAAAAATATATATATATTAACTGGCCGAAGTATCTTTAATTTGAAGAACTATGAATTCCGGCCAGGCAGCCTCTATCTTTACAATATGTAAATAGGGATATTTTTAAAAGAAAAAAAACTTTCACCATTTTCAAGGTAAAACGAACCTTTGAATATTTACCTATAAAATGGTGACAATGAATCACCGAAACAGTGAAAACCTATCACATAAGGTGTAAAAGTGTTACATCAAACTATCAAAATTAGAAACTATTATAGACACGTATGATTCTTTTTAAAAATAAACAATTTCTACTGTCCTTACTGCAATGGAAAAATTAATGGGAGGGCCTGGTTCATCATTGGTGAACCCTCCCAGCGGTTTCGCCAGTTTAATCTACCAGGCCCTCCCATTAATTTTTCCATTCCAGTAAGGACAGTAGAAATTGTTTTATTTTTTTTAAAAGAATCATACGTGTCTACAATAATAGTTTCGAATTTTGATAACAGATGGCGCGCTAATGCATCATAACATCAAACTAAATAACGTTATGATATATAAGAGATATTAAACAGAGATAAAGATGAGTAATATGCAGCTATGGTATATAGTACAAGACCGTAATAACGAGATACATACTTGGATAGATGTTGTCCCAGAGAATGACAACATAGTTATCCCGGTCAGAACGGACTTGCTCGTGTTCATAGCCAGCAGCGTGCATCATCTCGTGCAGCACGCCCGTGTAACCGCAGCCTGGGGACAGGGTGAGTCTCTGCTGGGATAGCATGGTTCTGCCGACCTGACTGGAACATCTGGCAACACAACCTTCTTGTTCTTCTACTCGTGACATCTCTTCTGTCAAAATAGACCTAAACTCTATCCACCTGTTATATCTTTTATACCGTTTCTATATTTTACCTCTCTAGCCATACATATATATTTAATATAGTTACAGCCTTTATATATATATATTATAATCTAAAAACTCAAATATTTCTATACTTTAAAAAATATGTATTTTTTATTTTTATTCATTGATATTTCTACTTTTTGTTATCATCGTTTTTAGAATAACTTTCAGTTTTGTTTTAAAATGCGTAGTTAACATATCTATCCTTTTGAATCACTAATATAGGATTAACTTTATAAATTCTATATAATGTGAAAATAACTAATGTGTAAAATTTCCTCAAGTAATTGAAAATAAAAGCTACTTGATGGTAAATAATTATTTTTTTTTTATTACGACTGCACCTTCAACCCTTTATCTTATCGATCCTTTGTCTTATCAACCCTTTATCTAACAACAAACAAATTATTCATAACATATATATAGCCATTCAATACAGCTGATTAATTACATATGTATCATGGCTCCATTGCCTATACCAACAGTGTTGCCGGATCTTTATATTTACACAGATTATACTATTAAAAATGGCATATCCTGACCAGGAGCACATGTGCTTTTCAGAAGGCAGAGCGCCATCTGGTGGAACAGAAATCAACTATTCATTTATTTAACCTGTTCCCTGATATTTGGCCAACCCAATTTCATGATAAATCAAGAAAAGCCATCCACGAACGCGTTTCGCGCTTTTGGCGCTCGTCAGCGTGGAGTAGGCTGTACCACTGCGACCAAAAATATTTTTGGATTTTTAATATCAAGACCTGACATTTTTATTTTTTTCTATTATTTTTTTCATTTATACATACATATTTAATATATAATAACGAATAGATTCAATATATAGTTACAACCTATATATATATATATATGTTATAGAAAAATCATTTTATTTCAAAATTATAATTTCATAGATTAAACTACTCTGTTAAATCGACCGCCAGAGGTCGCGCTTTCCCTATAAACACCTAATGTTGTTGTTTCCCGATGGCCTCCAGCCTGGTCATAGTGGTTTTATATATTCCGCTTTACGCGGCCATTGGGGCTCAAAAATCATTTATTTTGGTTAGCAGCCCCGTAAATAAAGATATTTTCTCTCTTTCCCGATGGCCGGCTCAAATCTTTTGTACATTATGTAAATAAGTTTTTCTTTTTTTTTTATTTTTACGCCATAAATCAGGCAATATTTTCTCAGATTATTTTGTGTTTTATAAGCTGAATTAAAGCAATAATGATCTGAACTATTTTTAGTATTATTACCACGACTGCAGTGTCACATGCTTATGGATTCCGGGATTAAGAAAATGATCAATAATTCTCTATATAAAATCCTTTAAAACCAGCAGAAAATCTTATTTCCTAATATATATATATATGGAAAATTTGCCGGGAGGAAATTGATCCATAGAAGCATAGGGCGCCTCTCCCGTCAAAATAAACGTCAAAAACTGACGCCATCTATTGACCGTCGCCGGAACTAGCGTCCTCGGGTCGGTGACAAAGCCACAACACCAGCTTTGGCAAACTGAGAAGCGTCCACCTAGAGACCATTCAGTACAGCACAGCGCTAGATGAATTACATATTTATTATTGTTCCATTGCCTATACCAACAGTGTTGCCGGATCTTCATATTTACACAGATTATACTATATACAACACCATCATCTTTTTGTAATCTACCTAACTCTGATCGGTAACAAAACCACAACACCAACTTTAGAAAATACAGAATACCTAACTTAAATACCAAGGTTTCGGACTAATAACCTTCGTCAGTCCAAGTCGAGCTTTGATTTCATGATATTCACAAAGGATTCATGAACGGGGTATTAACTCAAATTTGGCCTTTAATATCTATTTCTCAGGAAGCTTCTTGTACCAAATATATCGGTCCAATAGGTACAGCCTGCACCACGCTGAGGAGGGCCAATAGCCCGAAACGCCTTTGTTGTTTGGTTTTTTTTTTATTTATCTATCTTTATTTATGGGAAAAGTTAAATGGACGTTTAGTTAATTTTTGTTCCACTAGATGGCGCTCTGCTATCATTTAAAATGCTCATGTGAGCGATCAGGATATGCATTTTATGTTATATATGTAAAATTTGAATATACTCGATAATAATTGCATACCTCGCTCGGTATATATGGTATATGTATTTCTTCATTAGCTATCTGACACCTCCCAACTCCATTTTACCTTATCGGTGATAACCAATTCAAACGACGCATGCGCGGTTCCACTACATTTTTTTTTTACATACACATAATATAGCGGTTTAACAAACTTTCATCTAATTTCTTAACGTTTTTTTTTTATGTCTAAAATACTGTTTGTTTTTCAAAATTTGAGACTATATATAAGGAAATTTGACATTTCAGTTTGGATATATCCTCGCAGATGTTATGGATTACTTACTCTCGAACCCCGCCGACAATGATGACACCATAGGGCTCCGTATTCCGTGGGACCCACCGGATACAACTGACTTTTTCATACTCTTTTATGGCTTTGGCTACAAGAGCTCGGTTCGTCTTATCTGCACACACACACAAGTACTGTAACTTTACTGTACGTACTTACATACACGCTACATGTTACTATACCCCAAATATACATAGTACCAAGCCATGATAATCATGGTTAATAGGAGATTTTAAAACACGATAATAAAAAGTTATAACGATTCCTTTCTTTATTTTGATCAAAACTAGGGCTACGAGCTTTCAGGACTAAAAGGCTTCACAGCCATATACAATAAAATAGCTCTTGAATAATGATAAATGTGATTGTATGCAACATTGTGTATATACTATAATGTCATCAAATAAAGTAAAGCACGAAGGAGGATGAGTTTCTTTTTTAATAAACGCGAGCGAGCTTTCGGGCCACACGCCCTTCTACTGGCTAAAAGGCTAAGAGATTCCAAGAGATACAAGCTTATTTATACTATGGTAGGCGAAATTTTAGCATATTCACATTTTTTCTTATAGACGGAGAAACAAAATACAACTATGATTACAATTAAGATATGCAAAAATATGCAAAAATATAGGGAAAAGACAATGAGGTGAATTATAAATCTAACACATTTTAGCCAGTAGAAGGGCGTGTGGCCCGAAAGCTCGCTCGCGTTTATTAAAAAAGAAACTCATCTTCCTTCATGTTTTACTTTATTTGATTATCTAAACAGAAAGAGTTCTATCGCTTATTCACTATAAGTCAATTCATGATAGAGAGAACATTGCTGTGATAGAGATGCATGGAGAAATCTGAGGCTATTCATTGGACATGACAACAACAACAATACATGTTAGAGTCCCGTTTGGTTACGTGTACTCACAGATAGTTTACTTGGGACATATTTGATAACTATATACAGTACTTACATATGAAAATTGGAAATTATTATAGACACGTATGATTCTTTTTTAAAAATAAACAATTTCTACTGCCCTTACTGCAATGGAAAAATGGAAGGGCCTGGCTCATCAGTGGTGAACTCTCCCAACGGTTTCACCAGTTTAATCTACCATATTGTAGCGAAGTATTCATTATTTTATTAACAGAGTTTCATTTTTTATGTTTATATTTTGCTACTCTGTAAACTTCCCTCATTTGCATATCTTTTGTTTATCATTGATAGTTTGTTCTCGCCTTTATTTATTTATGCTTATGAGGTGATACAGCAACGTCTTTACAATAAGAGAGGAGACAAAATGAATCAAATCTAGAAAAAAGAAGTGAGGACTTCTCGGTCATTAAAGTCTGAGAGGCAAGGCCTTCAGCCAGTTCAGGGCTTCCGGGGTGACAGAGTGGAGATTGGAGATTCCTCCATTGAATTTGTACAGCGGGCAGTCATCTAGTATATGGGACTCGCCTGAAATAAATTGTTGTATTATTTCGAAGTTGGTCTTCCCTAATTTTCCACGTGGCAATATTATTTTTGAAAAGAATCATACACGTGTCTATAATAGTTTCCAATTTTGATAACAGATGGCGCGCTAATGCATCATAGTACTTACCTAGACTGTAATCTATCTCGTAGGGAATTATTCCTTTTGGCCAAATTCTCTCTTCCTGATTGACAGCTGATTCTCTTCGCTGCAACATTCCATACAAACACTGAGTACAATCACTCAGTATAAATTCACTTTTGTACTATTTTCACATTGATTGGCGTTCTTACGCCCTTCAGGCCTAAATACCTGTTTCATGGTTTTTCAGGATGCCCCAAAGACCAACCTTTTTTTGGTCGTTGAGGTACAGCTTACACCACGCTGACGAGGGCCAACAGCCCGAAACGCGTACGTGGTTAGCTTTTCTTGAATTAATCAAGAAACGGTATTTAGCCAATTCTGGAATAATTAAAAATCAACGATTAGTTGATATTTATTCCGTTAGATGGCGCAAGCCATCAGCAACTTACAGTTGCACGATTAGGAAATGTCTTTTTTCTTAATTTATCTACCTGATCCAAGTACAAATTCACTTTTTTTCACTGAGTTCTACGTTCCTGAAACCTCTGTCTTATAAATATCTCTCTCTATTATATAATAAAAAAGGAATATATTGGATTGAATAAAAGATTTATTTGCTAATATTTCGGTTGGCTGAACGCCAACCTTTATCAAGGCTACAACAGATTTAAATATAGATTGCTTTATTTTTTCAAAACGATCTCTCTCTATGTGAAAAAATAATTTAAAATAAAATAATAAAAAAAGTTCAGGTGTTGATATTAATATTTTAGTATTTTTTCACATATATAGCGTATTTACGTAAGTT